GATTTTGGTTTGGTTATATTTCCAAGTAGCTGAACAGCTATCCATTCTGTAGGTTTATTTTTTTCTCTCCAGAAATTATGTTCCTATATATACTCCATCTTCAAAATTCCAGGTGGTCCCAAAAATGTGTCTTTATACTAACAATATTAAAAGAGAAGCTACTTAAATAGGTCTAGGTTTGAACCAAACTCATTGCTCCCTTCCCCCACAATCAAAATCACACACATTTGACTAATCTTTTGGAGACAAACCCCACAGCTTTTTAGAGTTGTTTTTCAAATGTGAATGCTTTATTTTAATTGCACATTTAGACTTAGAGCACATTAATGCAAGCTGCGGAGTGCTTTTAATTTGTCTTGTCTTTTGCCACTGCATATACTGTGTAGTCTGACCCTTCTTTGGGAGGAGATACTGCTGAAAATTGCTGGAAGACTCATGTAAGATGCTTGTCTCAAGAGGAAATATATTTATGGAATAAGGATCAAAAGAATGTCTGTGTTTGTAGATTGCATTCTAATACAAAGACAGTTTTGTTACTTTTAAATATATTGGCTTTGAAAAGGGAATCCTAATGAAACAGTCCATGCATAATTTTTAGGAGTTGCATCTAGTTTTCCAAGTAAAGTAATTTAGAAGGTAGCTGGTGAAATCCATATGAAATGCTGCAAGCTGCAGTTGTATGGGATAAAGTCCACTTGGATATTAGATTTTACATTAACTTCTATAAACAATGAAATGTCGCTTAGCTCCAAAGTTTCTGAACCAGAGGTCATGAAATGCTGGAAGGATAAACCAGTTAGGTTTTGTGAATGTTTTCTCTGCTTTTGAGCTCTTCTTTAGGCTGTGCATTATTGATCTCTATCAAAGTCATGATACTGGGCTAGATGTAGCTGTAATTCTATCTTCTGAAGAATATTGTTTTAATAATATTTTGAATTATTTGGACTTTATGTATATATTAACTGTACCATGAAACTATTCAGTCTCTATGATGTAATGTCAATTGAAAATCCATTTCAGAGGAGAAGGAAAATTCAGCCAGATCAAGAACTAATGCTCAAACAAGCAAGAGTCTTTTCTCATTTGAAAATAAAATAAACCAAAACTTAGCACACTCCCCATACTTAGGATTTATAATAAGATATGTAAAAAAAGGTCCAAGAACAAAAATGGCCTCTTTAAAATAGCCTCCTAAATAGGAATATCAGAGAATGGTTTGGGTTGGAAGGGACCTGGAAAATCATCTAGTTCCAATCTCTCTTCCATGGGGAGGGAAGGGACACCTTCCACCAGACCAAGGGGCTTTCTCAAATCCCCTTTCAAACTGGCCTTGAGCACTTCCAGAGATGGGCTGCCTGGGTCAGTGCTTCACCACCCTCTCAGGAAAGAATTTCTTCTCAATATCTAACCTAACCCTACCCTCTTTCAGTTTAAAGATACAACCCTTTGTCCTATCAAATTCCAAACTGGGATATGGAATTTTAAGGTATGTTATTACAATTCCCTATCTGGCATGTGTACAGAAACCAGGAAAAAGGATCAATGGTTGCTAAGCAGACAAAAACAGAGCTGAACATTATTTCTGAACTGTATGGTTCATCGGTACTAGTTATAACTTATATCAAGGTTCTTATATTAAGGTTGTTGGCTTGTTTCATGTACATGTTTATAAAAAGCAAGTGTATTGCTTATATACTTTTCTGTCTTTATGCTTACTTTTCTGTCATGTCTTTCTCTATGTAGCTCTGCATATAGGATATGGCTTGTATGCAAACATGTATGCAGCTGAAGTACAATACAGCAAATGTTTAAGCACTTCATCTGTCCATGAGCTCAGTGGGACTAATTATCTGCTTATCTCTTTTACTTATATTCATAGAAGTACTAGAAGTTTGAGTCCTTAAACTGTAAGCTCTGTGGTAAGGTTTTAGGCATATTTACATCTACTATATCTGGGAACAAAACTCTAAAAAAAATAATACTAGTAAAAGCTTAAACTTTTGTGCTGTTTCTATACAAAATATAGGCTCAATTTTTGAATTAGAGCACACCAAGATACCAATCACTATAGCTTATTTATATCTTTAAAATATAAATTGAGGTGATAGAAGTGTAAAACATTTTCAGCCCTTACCTTCATATTCTTTGGTAATGAAAATCAAAATTATGTCATCAGCATCCCTTTCAAGCCAGCTAACTGATGCTGCAGCATTATGAGTCATCTCTTTTAACACCAAACTGCTTTTTAAAAAAAAATTTAATGGTGAGAAAAGGTTTGAGGGTGATACAGATCTTACTCTATTCATGGAACATAGGGAAAAGCAGTAAAAGTTCAGGATTAACTCTATGAGCTAGAAATGTAGCTTCATTTTTGAACATCTTAAGCTCTTAGCTGATACTGCTCATGAACAAGTGGTTTGAGATGTTCAGTCTGCCTGCTGTAACTGCACTGGACACAGTGGTGTGTTGTACATAATTGTGTAAGGCAGTGAATAGCTACAGAGTGAGAGCGCTTTGTCACCTGATACCTGATCTAATCTGTCAGCAGGAACTTAGATGTGAAGTTCTTCACGTGGCCTGTGCTGGGACCAACAGCAGAGCACAGCTCCTGAGCTGCTCCCTTGCTGCATTTGTCACTGTAGCTGTCACACTCCCTTGTACTTGCTGCACGCCCATGGTGCTGCTGCCACCAGTGGTGATGCCCCGAGGGTGCCAGGACAGAGTGACTGCATCAGGAACACCCACATGCTGTGGGATCAGGCTGCCCAGGACAGTTCAATAAGAGCCTGTATCCTTTCAGGCCCTTAAAAGTAAGGTAATTGGGAATTTTCTTTTCAGAACACAATGCTTCAGTTTAAGCCCACCTTTCTCCTATGCACTAAGCACTATGGCAGCCTCTAGCTATGGTGCAACATTCTCTGCTTTGCCAAGGGTTGCTGTGGTGGATGAGGACAGTTGCCCAGTGTAATTACATCATATGCTGGTCTTGAATGACTGGTTTGAGTTCAGAAATGGTATGGGGAACTGTTGACACTCTGCAGCACCAACACACCACTTGCAGGAGGTCTCTTCTCATGGTCATCATGGTTGCCACTTGCCTCTGAAATTAATTCATTCCTGGTTGCTGTGGATGACTGGACAATCAGGTCAGTGTAGCTTGGTTGAACTGCCACATCATCCAGGTCTTCCATCAGTCACATTACTGTGCAGCTGAGGTCCTCAAAGGTTCACATGCTGTAAAGTTTCTTATTTTGTATAGGCAGGGGAAGAAGAGTTAGCAATGATGTCAAGATCTTCATTCGAGCCCACCACAAGGAGCTTTGACTGTTCAGGATTATAACTCACTCATTCTACACGTTCTTGTTCACAAGTTTAGGGATGTTGACAATTATCGGTGATTATTTATGGATTCTGTGATGCAGTCTACCAAATAAGTATGTAACATCCGTGGTTTTCAGAGCTTGGGCATCTTCACTAGTGACAAAGCAGCACTCTCTTCTCCAAAAGGACTGTGGTATTGTCAGCCTTAGAGTATATGTCTAATTACTGATAGCACTCCTCGTTGCTACTCCTTCTCATTGTCCTGCTGTACTAAGTGTTGGTCAAACACACCCCGATCTCTTGCAGATAGAGTACAAATGTGTCTGCAGGTGCTTGGCTGCACCAAACAGACCACTGAGGGCAGTTTCCAGATCATCATGACAACTGTAGTCACCACATAATACCACAGTTGTCAGGTATGCATTAATGAAAGCATAGTAATGCAGCCATAATTCGTTCATAACTTGGAATCCTTCAAGTTAGAATGGATGCTGCAGAACAGAGCTGTCCAGGTATCCTTGATGCAAATTAACATTTATTATGGGGGGGCAGTGTGGATGCTTCAAGACAAAATAGCAGTCCAAATGCAGACCATTTGCTATCACATAGTACAGTTGCTAACAGAAATTTACCTGTACATACTCCTGAAAGTTGCAGTGAGGTATTCTTGGAGATCCTGCCACAGATTCATCTGATCATCCATATAGCACTACTTAAGCCTGGAGGTTTGTCAGGGAAATTATGCTCTGTCCTTTTGAGCTGTTCCCAATACTCCTTGGTCTAGGAGTAGAAGGAAGCGATGGAACAAAGAAATTTAATATCTCTTCATCATAGGTATGTGTGGAGATGGAGATATTTGTTCTTGGTAGTTTGGAGAGGTACAATTCACTGGAAGTTCCCCACACACAGCCTGCTGAGACACCCACATCTCAAGGACACTAACTTTGTGTAAACACATGAGCTGGAATAATTTTAGTGACCATCGCTGAGGACAATTGCTTGGTGAGCAGTGGTGGGTGCAGTGACAGCACCTGCTGGCAGACATGTGAACAAAAAAGGAATGGCATAATCCTGGAGGTAGCCTGAAAGACCTGAGAGCAAGAGCATGGCATGTTTTTCGGGAGCATGGTTCTATTTTTATGATGTGTAGGTAGCAGAACACACTTACCTGCTTACCTTCAGATGGAATTCCTTTATAGGAATGAGCACCCCATCAGCCCTGTGACCATGCATGATGTGACTGGGTGTAACCTAGGTGGTGACATATGTTCTTATCAAAACAAGAACCTGTGGCTGCTGCCTTGCCAACAAAGCAGTACAAGTAATTGTACTTTGTCCTATGGACTCCATTTTCTCTCCTTCTGGGTAAGACTGGAAAGAAAAATTTCCCTCGCATTAGGAGTTTTTGTCCAGCCAATGCCCATCACCTTTGCTGTGTGCAGTGTTAGCTGGCCAGTGCTGCCACAGGGGCTTGGGAGAGGCTGGCACTGGTGGTCTGCAGCAAGGTCCCCCTGCATTCTTGCGCTGTCTTGGTGCCAGAAGAGGCCAAGATAGAGAAACAGTATCTGGACCCAGCCCAAAAAATTGTGGAGCAACTCTTAAAATCTGTAGCTCAGCATAGATTGAGAAACAGTATTTAAATACAATCCTCATGCTCTTTTTTTTTTAATTTCTTGAAGTTGAATAAGCGACTCTTGTCATCTTATATGATAACAACCTTCGGTGGATCATTTGCAGCCTCCTCTTGCTACTGGTGAGTGTTCCTGCCAGCAAAGTCCAAGGCATGAATGTAGCAGTTTTAAATCGCGATGAATTTCTTAGTCTCCTCTTAGGTGTATGCTGCATCTTGCCAAAGGTGCATGTAAGTGTGGTGGCTGTTCTAAAACTTGTTGGTTGTATGTATTTGTAAGGTGATGAGGCAGGAAAGTGGGTATTAGGGTATGACTCAAGGGGTTGGAAGGGTGTGTGAAGTCATGAGGGCTCATCCTTTGCAGCATAAAAAAGCCTAAACAGCTGGGATCTTGCATAGGTTGTGCCCATGCAAGGGCAGGGCCCAATGTGAACTATTCTCTAGCCTCTGCCCATATTTCTCCACCTGAGAAACAATTTGGTTTGTTCCAGAGCAGAAGCTGAGTGTAAAGTTATACCAACGCAGTGGTTGCAGCAGCATACGGTGCTGTCTGAAATGGCTGCTTTGAAACTGGTAATTGCTTTCTGTTATTTGTTCTTAACACACTGAGAGAAACTAGATGTTGTGTACCTTTTTTGCAAATAAACAAGATTGCATCAAAGACATATTGATCCTATCAATTTCTTGTCCTGGCATAATCTGCAGGCTCTCAAATATAGGCTGGCTGCTTTAAGCAGCAGACAGAACACTAATGGAAGCTAATTTAAATTTCGATTTGCAGCTCTCATTTAGAGGTGCATAAACTTCAAACACAAATATCCTATATTTCAAATGTAAAGTTAAATAATAATTTGCTGGATGAGCTCCTGTCTGAAAATACACTACACACTCCCCTTTTGGAATGATACACAAAGATCTTCTCTGCTTTGAAATGATTCATAGCAGATGGGGAGAAAAAGGTTCATTAATTGATTCTTCAAATAAAAGATCACAAGTGTAACTGAAAGATCCTGTTGGAAAATCAAATGAACTAAATTTTCAGAGAAGCTTGTGCTTTTCACAGAAGTCTGCTGGCAGAATTTCAAAACAGCTTGATGATTAAACAGCAGGTCATTTAAAGTGTGTTTACGTTAACAATCCTCTGTAACCATGTTCATACTAGGGCAAGGCAAAGTACACAAAGTGTTTGTTAGATTATAATTAGTTTAGATTACTTTCCATTATGTATTGGAAAAGGCAGCCCATGGCCTGGCTCATGTTTCAGGTTACTCTGCTGTAGTAGCTCTGGGTGAGGTATCTGCATGACAATATCTAAAAACCCTGCCCAGCAGTTTTAAGTACTGACCCTTGCACTTTTTTGGCCCATGATCCCGTACATGCCACCACCCATTCTTATTATCAAACTTTCAACTGAAAATAGGACAAAAGTGATATGAGCAATGCAAGGTTATATTTCGTAAGAGTCTTTGGGCTCCTTGCAAGCAAGTCTCTAGATTATGCTGCATCAAACCGTATTCTTACTAGTCTATCAGTGCCACTGGAGAAACAGACCTGTAACTCGTAACACCAGAAACTGGTGTTAACTACTTTGCAGTGTTCAAACCTGTTTATTACCCTTACCACCCATACTTTTTACAGGCTGTGTGTTGTCATGTCTTCCATTTTAAAACCCCAGAAATGCTATTGTTTTACTTCTATTTCATTATTTCACTTGATATGTGTGAAGGCAAAGTAGTCATACTGACACTTCTGAAGAATGTTTTAATCCTTTGTGTTATTACATAATTTCTTGATTCGTTTTTATCTGGTGTAGTTTAGCACAGCAGTATGGACCCACCCACTGCATTTCAAAGTGTAATCTCTCTGACACTTAAATGACATTTTTCCATTTTCTTGGATGATGAATAATTTACAATGTGGGCCTGTAAAGAATCTATGTTCGTATTTAAATATCTGCAAAATTTACAGATTCACTTTTTCAGTTTGAAAGCTCTAAGATAATAGAAAATGTTTCACGTACTGGCCTTCCTTCTTTTTCCGTAAAGAGCTTTTGTTCTGCAGATTGCAAAAACACTTAATAAACTGTAGCTTGGAAGAGATATAACTTTGTAAGGCAGTTGGTGGTTCCACTGTCAGAAATTAAGAATAGAAAAATTAAGAACTAAATAGAAAAATTATGCTTAAGCCAAGCCTGTCTGTAATATTAAAAGGGATATATAGATATAGATGTATATTCACCTATGAGTATAGGTGGGGTCAGAGGAGTCTAAATCTTAAATCTAAGTCTGGGAAGACATTTGTGAATTTATTTATTTATTTATGTGTATTATGAGTTCTGATGTTAGACTATTTTGTCTCACACTAGGAACAGAAAAAGCTCATTTAAGATTAAAAATTGAGATGTTAAGGTAAAACTGAGAGATACATCAACTAAATGAATTAAAAAGAGTCAATGAGAGGAGAGAAGGCATTAAAATTCCCATATTGCCAGAGCATGCAGTCAGACAAACCAAGGAAGCAAGTGCTACAAAGGTCAGCCCAGCTTGGAGTTATGGAGATAGGGGTGTGAGCTCAGGGAGGAAAAGATGCAGAGATAAAAGCACACTGTAGAAAAAGAGGAAAAAAATGAGGAATAGCCTGGAAGATGCAAAGAGGCTACTCTGTCCATCATGCAAGTAATCTAAAATGCAGGGCAATCTCTTTTTTAAAATCTTTTCTGGAACTACATTTTTCTTGCTTCGTGTCTTCCTCTCAACATGCGTTTTTCCTTGCATGAGTTGTGGATTTTTGGGCAAGTAGAGCATATTCTTTAAAATCAGTTACACATATGAGGCTTGGAACCAGTCCCATTCCAGTCATCTCAGCAAAGATGAGCACAGCATTGCAGTCACCTGTATTCAACTAGTGCTCTGAGAACAGCATGTAGAAATGACTTAGAGGTTAATGACTTAGAGCTTCATATGGCAACCAGGGAGCACAATTTCTAAATCAAAAATATTCATCCTCCAAATATGGCTTTCTTGGAAATTGTTATTGCCTTGGTAATGAGATATTTTGAAAATCATCTGGGCCAAATTAATCAGATAGTGGTAACTGCTTAATTCAATTGAAGTGGTATTAAGTACCACTGTACAAGTATTTACTGAATGAAGATGTCAACTAACAATTTTATGTTACTTATTAAAGCCAGACCCAAGATCTGTTTGAACTTTTACCAAACTGTACTTCCTGACTGCCACTATGATACAAAGAGAGGTTTTTTCCTTGAATATTTATATTTTCTTATTTTCTTGAATCTTTATATTATACAGATTTATAATATAATGTCATTTCAATACAATATTGTTCCTTACAAATTGATTCATTATTCTGAACTACTGATCTGGCATAAACTAAATTGTCCTCACTGCCTGATCACACAGCTCCCTACATAATTTTCATCTTTTTCCAGCTTTGAAGTTTCATCATCCTTGTCAAGATCTGGAAGTGCAGCTCAGGATATGGTAGTGCCCACAAATCAGTAGTGGGTAAGTGCCATCTTAATGTCTCAGACAGCAATGTATTTCAATCCTCAGCCATTTAATTCAGTATGTAAAACTCAAGCTACACACTAAATACATTGAACCTTCATGAAAACTCTAAAAAGAAAAGTGTTTATTGTGCTTCTAATGTGGAAGCAGATATTTAAGAAAATGCTCCTCAAGAACAAACTTGATGCTTCAGTGCTGTGAAGCTTTACTATATTGATTGTTGGTGTCGAAAGTCAGGAAGTCTGATGTCAGCAGCATGACTTAGAACAAGGTCTTTTTTCAGACTGGGTGCTTTAAGTATGAAATTTGTCATTATGCAGCCAGTCAATGACTTGATTTTCAAACGCTGTTTACACAGGATTCTATCTGGTCTGCTTTAAATGTTCATTCCATTAAAGAGAACACACTGGAAAGCCAGATCTTAGGAGCCCTTTGGGGGGACACCACATAGGATACCTTCAGGCACAACAGCCATCTTATAAGCTCTGTTTAAGGCCTTTTTAACACCCTGCATGTTGTCTTGTGTCATGATCCAACATACCCCCATGAGGTAACTGATACTATCATTATCTGAAACTATCTCAGAACAAAGTAAAGGAATTAAGAAACCTCTGCCAAGGAACAGATCCTGCTAACTGATTAACCACTGTCTCACACTGTTTACTTAGAGTGGCGCATGAGGCCCCTATGAAGTCAGTCTGTGCATTTTATTAGGCATCCTGACAGAAAAAAATGGAAAAGATGCTCTAAGATCCTAATAACCTCCATACTTTTCTCCAGACATTCCATGGTCATGATAGCTCCAAGGATTTTTCAGGAAGTCCTAGAGATGGTTGGGGAATTTAAACCTGACTATGCCTCCTAGCTTAGAGAAATAGCATACTGCATTTTCCACTATTTGTGGGAAAGTCACATAGCAAAAGCTGGTTTTTACTGTGACCATCTCACTGGTTTTATTGTCTATCCAATATTAATTTAATAATTAATAAACAAAATAACAGCACAATCTATTACAGATACTGTATTCCAAATACAGTGATCTAAAGTTAAAACTCAGAACATTAATCAAATTGAATTTTTCCTGTTACTATATAAAATTGCCCCAGGAAGGTGAGCCTTGTCTCACTGTGCTTATACAAAGTTAGTGTTTAAATTATTCGCTTTCTAACCAGTCATCATCAATAGTATATGTTTATTCACAAGTAGGAGCAACAGGCCCAAGTGCTTCTGTATGATATCTACAGCTGACAATTACTGATATTCATAGTCCTGTAGCTTGTTAGCCACTTGCTGTCAAATGAACCAAAAACTTTTAGAGACCTAAATGTTTGCTGATAAAATCTCCTAGGTACTTTCATTTCTGCTGCTGGGCCCACACTTTATGAGAGGGCTTTCCCAACATCAGAACAGGGCATTTGTGACAAAATACTTAGCTAAAGACAGCTTTTGTTCCAGACTAATTTTCTGGACTTCAGACTGTCTTTCAAATCCAAGTAAACTAGTAGTTCATCAATAGCAGGCCACCAATCCTACAAATTATTTAGATGGTTTTAAAGATCCTCAGAAATAAAGAATCATCTGAAAGCACTGAATGAACACATCTGGAATATTTTACTAGGATCATTGTATTTAGTTTGAAATGTCTTGAATTAATCATTCCAGATTGGTGTTAGAAATTCTCTTTAGAGTAAGAATAGGGTATCTTAAATTGATACTTATAAGCCTGAATTAGTGCTCAGCGACACCTCTATATCCAACTTCTTGTTTTCTTTAAAGTGTGTGTTTGGAATTGTTCATGATTTTGTACTGAAGACTATTTTTGTACAGCATACAGAGTGATAATATAAAAGCAGCAAAGAAGATCTAGAAAGTAGTAAGTTGGAGTTCAGAAAAAGACTTTTCATTTGGCTGACAATGTTATGTAAAGATTTCAGAATTAAGAACAGAGACAAAGTTTACTTTAAATTTCAGTGCACCACTCTTAACCTTTCAGAGCTCCAAACTCTGGGAAACATTTTGGACAGAGTATCATTTCAGTCAAAACATATCACTGCTCTTCATGTTAATTACAGAATGATTGCTCAGAAGTATAAATTTTCACACTATTCCACTCCACTCTCCAATTGTGAGAGTGAAATTTTGTATTATCATAGTTACAGAACAAAAAACTGGACCTGTAACAGAAAAATTAACTTTTGCTAGAAGGGTGTACATCTCATTATATATTAATTTAGCAACAACTTTTAAAAAGAGCAGCACAGCTTCTCTCATATTTATTACTGGTTTTGAATGACATCAAGAATGGCTTTTTCTGATTTAAAGAAAAACTTGGAGGTTGGTAATTGAATTCACTGGAGGATAGCTCAGTTTCTTTAACTGAAAGTAACCAAGGTTAATATCATATGCAGCCAGTTATTATTTTAGTCAGACCTAACTCTTTTTCCTAATAGTGTTGTAATAAATCCTTTTTAGTTGTTAGCAGTTCAGGTTGAGAAAAAAGCTTTGTGTGACTTTTGTCTGGATTACAGAAAAATGACATTTTAAATCTTCAAAAGAAGTAAAAAGAGGCAGATATTGATTGTAATTAGGAAACTTTTTTCTGTACCTACTCCAGACTGTGACAAGTGACTTGAACATCTCTATGTGTGCTTTCCCAGTGGAAGAATAGCCACAGGAGTATTCACTTCTGCATAATTAATATTTGAAAACCATAATACATGTGAAATTAATTACAGTGACACTTTCTGAATATAGTTCTCTCTTTACCACAAGGCTGCCTTGCTAATTGCTTAGAAGTATTTTGATCAGAGAAGTAATATTATAGATTATACCCTGGTAGGTTAATCCACTTGTGCTTTTGCAATTTTAAATTTACAATGAGTTTTGCAAAACTGCATACTCTAGAAAATTAATATTTATCAGGGAAGAAATAAATGTTTTTTACATTATAGGGCAGCAAAATTTTGTGTTTTATCCCAAATATTAAAATGCATGTCTCCAGCTAATTTATTGAAAGATTCAGTTTGCATATAGTCATAGAATGTCAGTAAAATAACCTTTTGAATTTGATCTCCCTTTTGAGCTACAACTTAGAATTTCCCAGTGATAATAACTTTGGTGGAGTACAAGGAGGAAATGTAAGCTAAGTTCTCCAGAAAATCAGAATTTATGGGGAGGTGCTTTGTGTTAAAATTTATTATTATCTTTCTGTTAAGGAGGAAAATATGCTTTTGACAGGAGGGTTGAAATCTCTCCTTCCCCATGTGCTAAGAAGAATAATTAGATGCAACAGACTCAGTATTAGTAATACTTCTGGAATGGCAGAAGGTAAGTAAACCTAACAGCTCTCTGTGCAAAGTGATTCTATTTCAGATTCATAACTACGTTGGTTTTGTTTGTAAAGGATTGAAGAAATATCAAAAGCACCAAAGTAAAACAGAAGAAAATGTTATATTCTTGGGTGTTTTTGAAATCATACTGTAAACACCTGACTGTTTTTTAAATCATAAAGATATATCAGAGGAAATGCACTATCCTACCTGAGTAATGTACATGGACTTTATTTTCAGTGTGTGAAGTGCATCCCTCAGCTTCCAATTGTCATTGAGAAATGATGGATGTAGAAAATATTTGAAAAATCTTTAACCAAATCTGGATTTTCTTGCATGTTATTATCACATTTGTAAGATGTTCTTCACTATGTTCTTCACAGAGACCTTGCTTTACTTAGCACATTAGATATGCTTTGGGGAAGAATTAAAGACATATTGTTACAGGAGTGGTTTTCTGCTTCATTTTTTGCAGAAGGTAAAGATGACTGGGCCAGCAAGGCTGGGAGTTATAAGGAGGAGGGAAAAATTAGTTTTATACTGAGATAACTGAATGCATTTTGGAAAATTGATTTCCATCTTGCCTTTCATAGCTGGGCTTTTACAAAAGCAGAGAAGTTTGCCATTGTTCTGATCAACTTTAAAAAATAACATAAACAAAAATACCATGGCAAATAGCTGATCAACAAAGCTGTGTGTACAATACTAGCAGTACTATAAAATATGTTAAAGGTCATATTTTAGAACTGTAGTGAGTCTTGAGATTCTGTTTTTCTTTTCTATAGGTTCTTAAGTTGAAAAATACTAATGGAAGACATTTTATAATGTTTATAATTTGCAGTTTGCCCTGACCAAAATTTTAAAGAGAATTTATTGCTGCAATAGTTTTAAATGTATTAGTTCTAACATTTTTAGAAGTTTTGTTGACATATAAAACAAAAAAAAAGTTGATGAACAACCAGTTTCATTATACAAAAAGAACCATTGTAACAAATTGTCTTATGTTGTTGTTAACCCATTCTTTCTTACTGCCCACATTGTCATTCACCATAGAAGTTAAAAGCTCTTTCTAAGCTTCTCTGAACTTGGACATGAGTGTGTTGAATTACTGCCTGGGTTGGTCAACACATCCAGCTCCACTACCATTGCTTGTGAATACATTCATAATGATAGCTCCATAATGCAAGTGAATCCATCAGGAGATATGGGCTGTGTACAAAAAGTAAGGATAGCTATCAGGAGAAGCAATAAAGTTCTCAAAGTATTATAATGAAGCTGCCTGAGTTCATCGAGTATTTGCCTGAAGATTCAGCCTCTCATCTCTAACTAGTATGTTAAATTCAGTGTTGTCAGTTGAGTACCCTGACTAAACCCATAATTTTAAGAACTCATTAATATAACCAGCAAAGCAGAAAGTGCCTGTGGATTTCTCATGGATGGCAGAGAATGAAACTGAGGGGTAACCAAACTTAATGTTTTATTCAGTGGTTAATGTAGTATATTTATAGAGCAAAAATATTTTTCTGTATTTAGCAAGAATCTTGTTCTGTATTTAGTAACTTTTGCTAGTAATAAAATGGATTTTTGTGCTGACTACTCCCAAGAGATCAGTTTGTGGACAAATTCAGTATGCAAATTCATGCTTACCTCAGCCTTTGCTTTGCATTTTTCCATCAGGAATAGAATGCTCTTTGGATGTCTTGGTTAGCTTTAGTCAAGAGTAAGATTTGGCTCATTTTCTACAGCCTTTGAAGGCAGCTCATTGATTTCAACTAAATTATTGCCTCTTTGATGACAGACTACTGCAGTATTTAAGAAAGTGAGTGCTCCTGTGCAGCCTCCTACTCACCTGCCTGATATCAGACAGTAATAACTCTTCAAGAGAGAATGGGTACAGAATTTAGGGATTGTTAATTGCTGGGTTTATACACGCCGGACCAGTTGTACTCCAGATTTCCCCCCATTATTTGAACAGTTGATATTTCCATGCAGGAGAGTTTAAATGGCATTGGTATTAACTACTACTGTTAAGAAAATAAATTTTTGCTCAATGGGACCTTTCTTCAGTGGTACTCATTGCAAAAATGTTAATGTCTTTAGAAGCTATTTCATAGTAGTTATCAAGAACCTTTTAAATTCAAAGTTGTTTCCAAGTGAAGAAAATGTAGCAGTTCTGTTTTAGTTAGGGTTTTTTTTAATAAGAAGTTAAATCAGAACTTTAATTAGAAATTACTGCGAATCAGTGGACAGTAAAGAGTTTATTCCTGAGCTGTAATCGTATCTGTTTAATTGCAGCCCACATTGAAATTCCCTAGCCAAGAAATTCTAAAGAATGTGCTATGAATATCAAGATACCAGGAGTTTACTTTTGGATTGATTTATATCTTGGTGTGGTGAAAAATAATTGTGAAAGTGTGGTGTGTGATAGCCTTTCTTTGGCTCTGAGTTAGCATTTGCAAATAAAGCATATTCCTATATTCTAATGTCCCCAGTTAGAAAGGAAATTATGTTTATATATAAATGAATAGAAATGTTTTTAAATTATGGTGTCTTCATATTCTGCTACTACCCATGTTTGCCAACTGTTTTAGCTGTGAATGACTTCTCATATAGAGTAGGCCTAGCTATGATTTTTAAAGCATTTCAAGAAGTTTGATCTAATTACAAAGTTCAGAATCAAAAATTTCCTTTAGGTAATTCATAAGCCATCTAAAGAAATTAATACAGAAAAGTTATTGTTTCACAAACAAAAAAGCTGAATTAATAACCAGCTATTCCTACCTTCCACCATTTAAGGCTACAAACAGGCCAATATTGTGATTTTGCACAAGTCCCTGGCTGATGACTTTGAGAAGTTCTGCCGTGCAAACGATGGACCCCTGCCACTGCTGTACAGAAGTCAACCAGGTGACTGGAAATGTCCTTCCCTGAGAAGTGATTCTGATATCAGGTAACTACAGACCAACTCTGGTGGCCAATATTCTGAAGTGAATGCTGGTGGCGATTAGGAGAATTTGAGGAAACAGCCTGGCTACACTGTTGAAGATTTTGAACAACGTTCTTTTCTTGGAGTTATACCTTTGAGTGAAAACCAATTATAACAGCCTGATTATCTTGCTCTTGAGCCACATGTTATGATAATTGTCAGTATTAAAAATAATTTTTCTAATCCAAAGGTGAAATTTTGTGTAATTTTTTAATATTTTGCAGTCTGACCCTGCAGAATTCAATAATAGGGTTTTATATTTGTTTTATTTACTACAAACATGGTCATGGTGCCTGCATGATACTTGTAGAGTCTCTGAAACTTGAAATATGTACTCCTATGGTAAACACTAAAAACAAGGTTCAAACCAGCTCCCTAATTTTTGAAAGCCTGAGACAAGATATGTATAAGGGACCTTTACCTATAAAACCTGAAAAATCTCAAACTCTAACATTCTGTCTGTCAGCTTGGTTTTGTGCAGAATAAGACATTCTGGGAGTTTTGCCTGTGTTTGTTTCGTTATTAGTCAGAAAGAACAAAATGGATAAAGCAGGCTGTATTGTGTGGTTTCACACTGGGTTTATGTCAATTCAACCAATTCACCTTGTTTTTAAAAAAGGTGACAAAGCTGTGATAACTTCTTATTTCACTAGAACTGATTGCCTACAGTACAGAAAATATGAGCATGGAGCTTGTACTGGATCACTGAAAAGCCTTAAGGAGTATTCTGAACAACTCAAGGACATGGTGACTTTTTATTTAGGCTGCAGCTTCTCTTCTGAAAAAGCAATCCAAAAAGCTGGCATTCCTATCAGAAACGTTGAGCAAAAATGTAATGCAAGCATGTACAAAGTAAGTATATGCACACACAATCTTTGTTGTAATTTCGCCTGTGAGTTTCACCCATAGTCAGATTAGGTGCATATACCTATTGTTCAAATCAGAACTTTTTTTCTCTACCTACACAGTAACTTAAGGGCATGTGCTAGTGCTGAAAATACAGGGTAAAACATTCCCAGCCTCAGTTCAGTGTAAGGCCAATCTCCTTTTTTATTAATTTTTCATGACAAAGCTTTCCCTGTTTCCTGTGGCAGCCATTTCATGTGGATTCTGTTCTGGTTTGCCCCCTCTATTTTACCCAGTGATCCATGCACTGTTCTGACCATGTCTTTACATGTGTCCTGCTCTCCATACCAGCCCCTGTTTGCAGTTGGAGTATTCCTTTTATAAACCTATTCCTTTTAAAACTATGACAATAGTAGTTTCTTCTGCCCGACAGCCACATTCTGGATTTTTCCTGTGACAGTAGAGCCTCTAAACAGTACATTTACTACAAACCCAGGCCTCTGGGCCACAAGATGTTCCCAAAGACTTGAGGTGTTTACCATAGCACTGAAAATTATGACTGTGTTCAAAAAGTTTGTGGTGTACATTTCAATGGTAACAGAAGTCTTAGAATAATTGTCTCCAGTAAATAAACCCTTTAATACTAAAAACATTGAAGTATGCATCTGCATGCCTTTTTCATTTAGTTCAGCTGCTGTGCTGCTGGAGAAAGGTTATTGTTATTTTCAGTGTTATCATTACACAATCTATGCTACACTCCATCAAACAAAGGTGCAAGCATATCTCATACGTGAGTCCTTCTACCAAGCGTAAAGAAAAAAAAATACAACTATGTATCGGCTTCTAGAATTTCAGAATTAGGAAAATTTTACAGTTTATAGCACATTAATGCTGTGAAGAACTGCACAGTATATTTCTTAAATGACAGGTGTGATTATTATTATTATCATTATAAAGGCTTTAAATGAACATTTTCTTGACAGCTCCAGATCTCTGGATGTCTTGTTTATGTTCAACTACAACTCAGAAATTTGACATTTTTTCCTAAAAAGTTGACCTGCTTTCTTTCTAAATAGAAAAGGCTCAGCCTCCCAGTTGGTGAGGATGATGAATTCCATAGAGCCTTTGTAGGGGCATGAACTATTTGTATGTATGGAACTGTCATGCAGCTTCTGTACAAGAGGCTACTGCCATCAGCAGCTGCTGACCCTGCCATGGTACTGGGCTCTGTATTCAGCTACAGAGGGTAGAGTCAGACTAAGTAGATTTGCAAGTGTGCCATAATTTTCTATTAGCTTTTTCACCTTCTAGGTCACCTAGGGGGGACACACCATTGTTCTCAGCTAATATTCAACATACTGAGCTCATCTTGTTGTGTGCACCACAACAAGGAATGCATTAAGTTGAAAATTTTAGTGATGTATATGATGCAGCTACATGATGGAACCTTAAAGGAAAAAAATGCATTATCCCAAGAATTTTTTTCAAAAGGATTTAAAATGAGTGTTAGCATGCAGCCTTTCTAAACTCAAGTGCAGCACAAAGATTAATTTTATTTATTCTGACATTTTAGAAACATTGTTCAATATTCCTGCTAACAGTGGATTCTTTTGAACTGCCAGACATCTGTGCCTTGCAACAGCATTTCTATGTTTCACTGCAACTTAGTAGTCACAATGAGACCCATTCCTGAAAGCAAGTTGGGAGCAGCTGTGTCAGCAACATCTGGATTAAAAGAAGCCCATGGAGCACCAATTCACATAGGTGACCCTGGTCAGTGCTTTTCACTTCTCATTCTGCACACACCTGACGTTACACAAATGAGGGGGAAAGCATGGGAAGTGGTAGGACTGAAATACCTGCATCACTTAATCTCTCAATTCTTTCTAATGGTCACAAACCTAAATATAAAAGGAAAAAAGAAAAAAAAAAAAAGAAGGTTTTGAGTGAGCTGAACATACAGATTTCTTAGATAAAAGATAGTTGTCAGATGTAGATAAGTTATCTGGCAGGGGTGGTTTTGGTAAGAAGTATAATCACATTCTTCGGAAATGTGTGCAGTTTCATTTATATGTGAATACTTTCTTGCTGTCAGAGATTCCAGTGACAGGATAGCAATGACTGACAGCATGGGGAGAAGTATGTGTGGAGGCATCTTGTGTCTTAGTGGTTGAATGTGAAAGTAAATATTGCATTATTTTAAAAAATACTGAAATAGCATACAATGAGCAAAACACTTAAGACAAAATGAATAGAAATATGACAAGATGTTTTTTTAAATCTAGTTTGAACAAAAATGAAAAAGTTAAGAGAGGAGGCTGTTTGAAAAAGAGCAAAACCAAACAAACACCTGTAATATGAAGATAGATTGCAATAATTTCCCCCTGCTGTCAGAAGTTTGGTAATCATTGGCTCCATACACAGAATGGTCACATTGCAGGCCATGGAAGGAGATGTCATTGGTTAACACAACACTCCAGTAATGTACTTGAATAACAATCTGAGTACTTAAGCCTGACAAACTAGTAATAAATCATTGCAAAAGAGTAAATTGACACATACACAGATTATATAAACTAATTTCAGAAAAGAGAGTGGTATATTAAAGCATCTGAAGAACTTAAAACCAAGGGAAGATAGCAAGTGTTTAGAATGATCCAGATTATTACAAGTAGGTGTTAGAATAAAGCAAAGGACAATTTAATGAAAGGCAGCTAAAAGTGAGATGTATTTATCTAAGACAGAGAGGAAAAGAGAGACTGATCATTTCTTTAGCAAAAGAATGTAGGAAGTTAACACAGTAAAAAATGTGTTCTAGAAAGAACTTATTTTGCATTGCAATCATTGATTCTTGTTTGCCAGTGCTATGAATAGAGTTCTTCTGTTGATCCAGAAGATTTATATTATCTTGGAAACTCAGCATAGATGTCTAAACTGCATTTTGTTGCAGAAATAAGATAAATACATTCTTACTGGTGTTATCAAGTACAGAAAGGGGGAAATCAAGTCAGCTCAGGCTCTGAGGATGTGCACTCAAAGGCAAACTAAATGCTCCACTTTAGAGGGACTTGACACTTTTGAACTCTGAACTCAGTGTCATTGAATGATGTTTGGGGTCCACCCCCCAGCTTTGCAGTATTACTGCTTAATTAGAATCGCTCATGATTTCATTTTTGATCAATTCCAGGTCTGCTGGGAATACAAGATCTTTCTAAACCAGACTATGGCAATCCAGTTCACCTTCACCCTGGTGACATTCCAGTGTTTTGGGCCTCAGGAGTAACAGGAGTAGAAGCAATTATCAACAGCCGTATGTGCTGCTTGGAGACTCTCTTTAAATTATCCCTCAATCTCTTTTCTCTCTCTGCTTTATTTTGCTTTTTTTAAAAGGATACTCAATTGGCTGATTAGAAGGCTTGATTTTAGGGGAAGATAAAAAACACCCCAAACAGCAAAAAGCCATTGGCAGGAGAGTTTTTGTTGTGAAATACAGGTCTACTTTAAAGAAAATTCTTTCTGAAATTTCACCACTTTTGTGTACTTTAAATGTTTAAATCTACAGCTCTGGCAACATCAAAACAGCTTTTTTAGCATTATAAAAACCAAGAAGTTGAAAAGCATTAATTTTTAAGCTTCTTCCTTTTAAAATATTATTTTGTACTACATTGAAGTAAAGCAATAGTAAAGGAAAAAGAAAAAAATAAAAAGAAGGAATAAAAAGAGAGAAGCCAGAAATCTTTCCAAAATGTTGTCAAGAGCTAGCAAATTGATTGACATGGAAAATGTTGAGCTTTTAGTTTTCTCCAAAATTAAGTAAATGTGACACATTTTACATAAGTGAAACTTTTTTTTCTGTACAGTTTTTCTGCACTGTGTGCAGTCATTTATGCATGTATGAGCACCAAGGGCAAGAAAATGCAACAAAACCATAGTAAAACAGTTTATATACTTCTCTAAGTCACTATGTGAAATGAAATACCATAAAGAAGCCCAAAAATCATAGGCAATATACGTGGGAGAACCCTGGGAGGTTATCTGCTTTGTCCTTCTCTCCCTGCAGAATCCTTGTGGTTTCTTATAGATATTTATCTGAACTTCTCCCAACACCTGCTCTAATATGTTCAGCTCTAAGAAGAGTCTTCTTGCTCTTTCTTACATACAATCTCTTTTCTCCAGTCCTAAATCCATGCTGAAAATCCTGTTCTTTCCTGGGTTCTTCAGGACACCTATTCATCTTCCTTGTGCATCCTTGTTGTAGGGAAAAAGGGAGAAAAAATTTGCCAATGTCTCTCCTATCTGTTGCACATGTGGCTGTCCTGCCCTTGCCTGGAACAGACTTTTCACTTTTGTTTATTTCTCCATTTTCTATATTAAAACCAGTTGTCATTAGTACATTGCAGGAAATTTTTGGATAGATTTTATTTTGCTGTGCTACTTTCTCAGCTAGGACATTTAAAATCTGCCACACCACCAGTACCCATACTTTAGATGAATCTGCTAGCTGGTCACAAAAAAACCTCTGCTCACATTGTTTGGTGAGCTATAGTAAACCTCAACAACCATGTTCCCCAGGTGCTTTAAGCTGCTGGCCATAGAGTCCCATCAGATGTAGCTCCAACCAAGCACATACGTACTTATTAAAGAAACATCTTCTCCACTTTCACCCTCCTAACCAAGAAAGTTTTTCTTGTTGAAGTATACCGGTTATGATTTACCCAAAAACATGCCAATTTTGACAAATCAAGTATTACCTAGATTCAGACTTTTAGAATCAGTATAAAGACAGGAAATATTTTCAGTTTAGGAAGCTACTATGCTGTCAGGTCTAAAGAAGCTTATTTTTCTCCAGGGTTTTAGAGGTTACTCATATTTCCTTTGCTAACGCTTACTGGTCCACTTTTGACATTGCTCCTTGCCAGTTTAAATTGCCATGGTGTAAACCCAGACATGGATCAGGGGGAGAATTGGAAGAGTAAAAACTGGAAAACTCATGCACTGAGATAAAGACAATTTTGCAGGGATAACTTTCTATACTACCTTTATTTACTTATTCTCCTACATAGACCAAAGAGGACATTGTGGAAAAAACTGATCCCAACCCACATGAGCTTTTTAAAAGTGAAAAAATTTTCAGATGTATATGTGTACATTTCTTTCTCAATGGAGCATTAATTGCTCCAATGTTAACTTAAAATATCACCTGTTTTTTTAAGTGTCATCAGCCAGGGACTCTGTTGTTATATTAAGTGACTTTTTGAAACTTTAGCATGCCTATAATTTGTTACATTGCAATAATAACATTTAACTGAAGTCTTTTCATTCATTTTAGGAGCTCCATTAGCTTTTACCAATTCTCCTGACTGCACGTTCATTACCGACCTAGAGAGAGGTCCAGTCAGCTCCTCAGGAGGAGCCCCACAGGTCCACTGCATCTCTCGAGATCCTCTGCATTTCAGCATTGTGTCAGCAGAAGCAGCCCAAAAGATAAATACTCTGGAGACCCTAATTGGAGTAGATCCAGGTATAAACAAAACCTGTCTCCCTTTAATGGGTTTGTTATGGGGTAGATACCACCTATCTGGCCTTTTTAGATATTTTAGATTTAACAACACAGTAAGAATCTAAAGAGGGTTTTAAGAATTCTTTATGGAATACAGTGAGTTTATATAACTAGGTCTTATACTTTCTGTTACTGTAGTTAATATGAGAGTCTGGCCAAATTCATTCATTGTGGACAATGGAGTATCTGATCTTGATGGCTGTATGCTCCCAAAGTACACAGAAGCAGACTGGAGAGTCCACAGGGAATAAGAACTGAGTAAAACTGAAATTGGTATGGGAAGTACAGAGTGCCTCAGCTTGCTGGTAACAGCTACATGGGTGTTCCCTGTGGAGTAAATAGCACACTTCTTTACATATATTCATGCCTACTGTGGTCTTACCAGAGAATTCCAGTAGTTGCATGTGTTTTTCAGACACCACTCTCTGACAGTGGAATTATATTAATTTCTGCTGACATATGATGGCATCGAGGTGTTGTATGATGGACCAAAGTGACCAGGTCACCACAGAAGGTTGAGTGGTGGGGCTGCCTGTGTGTGCAAGGAAGGGAGGGAAGTAAAGGCACACTGAGTAGTGCAACCATTCCTAAAATACACACTGAGCTAGTCCCCTCTGGCTGCTGTAAAGTCTGAGCTCAGTGTGCCATAAATTTTCTGAAATCCTCTGTAGGCAGTAGTGGAAAACAGCTTACACCCTGTACTCCCAAGCTCTGGGTTTGGGCTGTGTGCATACATTTGGGTCTGTTTATTTTTACTCACAAGGCCTCTCCTTTCCCACTCTCTGGAGCTGGCTGGCATGATGCCATGCTCTGCAGAAATACAGTTCCTAACTTTAAAGTTAGTTCATTTTATTGCTAAGGGAGAGTACAGTACTTTGTCTCAGTTAATATACCTCACTCCTCAGAGACTTGCACTCTGCTTATGTTAACTTTAAGTTTTTTTGAACTTTTTTCTCTGTCACATTATCTGTGTATTGCCTGTGTGTTATTTAGGAGGAACCGAGAGAGAAATGCCAAAGGGGAAATCAAGAATAAAAAGAGGGAAATATGGGGGTCAGGAGAGCAAGAAGGATGAATCTGTGAGGAGACTGGAAAACACCAGTGAAGGCTTACCTCTATAAGCCCATCATGCTGGCACTCATGGTTTTCTTGAGTACTAGCAAACCGAAAGAACTGAGCTGTGAACTTTTTTCCAAGTGACAGGGAAGGAATGTGGGATAGGAAGTGTTTGAACAGTGAAAGCCATACCCAGATAATAGTGTTGCCTATTTAGGGACTGACCCATGAGAAGACACTTCTGTTAATATTCACCTATTTCTCAAGGTCTGATAATGTGGTTCTCTGCTATATGAAGTGTTACAAGAACTTCTAGTAGTCACCTGGATACCACTGCATTAACTGAGTTTATGAAATCCCCAGGAAACTTACAATGTCTCTGAAACCTCACTTCTGAGGTTAATAATTTCATTACGTGAAATTTATTTGGGCATTAGCTCTTCCGGAAGGGGACAGAGTTAAATAGATACAAAGGATCAGTTCATACATCTGAAGTCTGCATCAGAACTTCTCTAAGGGATGGGATGCTTGAGTTGCAATCCAGCTTCAGTAGCTAAACATGATCTAGCAGGCCTGTCAAAGGAAAACAGAGGGCCCAAGGAAAGGAAATAATATGCAATAAGCTCTCAGAAAAAACTATTTACATTTATACCTAGAAAAGCTAGGTATAATAATTTTCAAAAGCTGACATTCTTAACCTGGAAGCACGGCCCATTATCTTCATTACTCATATCCTAGATCTCTTAGGTTTCCTGAGGAAATTACCCCAATTCCTGCCTTGACCTGAGGTTTTTCTCTTTTATTTTTTAACCCATTTTATGTCACTTAAGTATGTACTTTCACCCAGAGGCAAACTTGAAAAGGAGAGTGATGCACTGAAGTGTACTGCTCTCTTTCAACCCTCTCGTCCAGGGGAGCGGGGGATCGGGCACCTGCGGCGGCAGGGGGAGCTGCTGGGGGCCAGCCTGGCCCTGTCGCGGGCGGGCTCAGTGCTGGTGACCACGGGATTCCCCACGCACTACAGCCACCAGCCCCCCGAGGAGAACGACGGCCCCCCGGGGGCCCTGGCCATCGCGGCCATGCTGCAGGCCCTGCAGAAACGGGTTGCCATGGTTACGGATCGCAGAGCCATGGAGCTGAATACAAAGATTATTGAAGAAGCTGTTCAACTAGGTAAGAACATGGGGTTTTCAGTTTTTTATCTTGCTAATTTCAGCCAAGGTTTGCTTCAGTTTTTTTTTTTAATAAGATCCTAATATTACCAGGTAGAACGTGCCTGGGCTCGTCTGACCCTTGCTGCTGGGCCAAAGGCAGCAGCTGTGGTGTTTCACCTCAGGGACACTTTTGGCTGGCTGGATGTAGCAGCTAGGCGCTGGAAAAAGGCCAGGCTTGTAGAAACTCAGTTTACCTCTGGTGGAAAGGCTTCAGACGACGGTGAAGACAAAAGGAGCGGATTCCGTCGGAGGGTTTAATCCAGAGTTTCATTCCGTGGTCACAAACATCTGAATCTTGGTAACAGCTCCAACAGAATAAAGACCTCATGGTCCTGGTTCAATTTAAGCCCAGGGACGGGGGGAGGGGAAGGGACAGTTGAGCACCAACCAGGTGGGAGGAGGAGGGTCCCAAGGGACAAGGGACACATAGACGGGCCAATGACCCCAGGCCTGAATTGCATCCTTTGAACTTGACCAACCACACAACCGGCCTTGCTGGAATGTTAAGCCTGACTGACAGAACTCACTCACCAAGGGGGTGAGGGGGAAGGGAGAGAGGTATTGCCATGCCTGGGAAGGTACTGGGAAGTAAAACAGGGAATGAGCTCACACTGCAACAAGTTTTAATCTGTCACTTAGTCCAGGACATTTTTTTCCCCAGAGAATGAATCAGAATTCATCCTCTAAGCTCTGCTCATCATTGCTATGATGACATTTTGTTAACCTAGCTGGCATCAAGGTGATGTGTACATAGCTGAGTACTGATTCTGGATGTGATAAATTGTGGATGTCTGTTCTTATTCTTGTAAACCTGTTTTCTACTTCAAGGTCCCATTTAACAGCATTTACATCTAAACAAGTTTAAATTAAAGTAAGGATATAGGGAGCTCATCAAGAACCGTGTAAAGACCTTGAATTCTTACTATTCTAGCAATTTTGCTTTCTTTTTTTTTTTAAGTTACTCAAAGATATGTTAAAAAATATGTATATCTGATTACATATCTGATCAGATATATATAATATCTGATTTTCATTTTGGTTTCCTGTAGGAATCCTGAAGAAGCCCATCCCTCTATTGAGTTATCAAAGGGAAAATGCCAATTCAGCGTTAATGTTTTTGTGTGAGAATGGGAATCCTGGAAGACCTAGGTATGTGCATTCAGTTTTTGAGAATGGGTCACACCTCTACTATGCAAAATTATAATAAAAATAAGGACAGTGGTCTAAGAAGGCAAGTAAATCCTTAAGACTTTGAATGCACAGAGCAGACTTTGAATCCAAACACTGTTATTGGAGCATACACTGAGTACAGAATTCCACATTACTCTGCAATTATGCACTTCTGGAGTACAAAAATTAAACAATTCTTCATATATCAATAGTTCTTTTCCTTCAAAGAATTTCTAAAATATTTTCAGCTGTTGTTTATAAATATATATGCACACACTATATATTATTTTACCATTTTTTTAATCAATGAGAAGATCAAAAATTATTGTATCAAAGTCAGTGAAAGTGCTAAGGAAAGTGCTGTGGAGAGTGTGCATTTTCTAGAGCTTTAGCTCTGGTCTGACAGCTAGGGAATCTAATCTGACTTAATAAAATGTCATGTGTTTGTAATGGTGTGATTAGGGTAAATGCACTGGAGAATTTGCTAAGTAGCTGCATGCTCATTTCATTACTTAGCATGCAAGTTATACTTCCTTGAAGTAGGTGTACATTGCTCATTTTTATTGATCTTTCCTTGTAAAGTATTTTAATATAGTTGCCCTCAGTTTGCATTCTTTAATGAAAAGGTCTTTCACCCTGGTATTTGCTTCATTAACTTATTGAATTCTCATCTCTTTCCACAGGTTAGTGGGTACTGCAACAGTATGCATGATACTGTCTTTATTTTTTTATGTGTTGTTTTAAAAATATCTTTTATAGCTAACCTTAATTAAAGTGAAGGCATATTATATTTAAATGGGTCCCTTAGTCCCAAAAGGTTGAAGTATTTTTTTAAGTAGATAAGTTACCTGCTAAAGGTCTCTGGAATCCCTGTAGATACCCACCCACAAGAACATTAAGTAATTCAGCAGAATTAGTAACCTCTTAACAGTAAAATCAGAGAAACAAGCAAAATAACTTAATTCTAACATACAGTGACAGAACTGAGTACTGTAGTTCTACTTAAAATGTAGGACAGCTGCAGTACATCTGTCTACTTTCATAAGCACCAAAACAGCCATGCACTTAAAAATAAATCCTCCAAATCTAAAGACTCAAACATTGCCTAACTAGAAGCAGATGAATATTTGCCAAGAAATGTACTTTAAGCAGAGAATATATTTGCACTAATAAGGATTTAGATGATCATTAATTTTCCACTTTTTCTTTCTTTGAATGCACTTACAGAGACTAATATTTTAGAAGATACTGTCTGCTTTAATGTGAAACAGAGCCAGGCCAGATGGCTGACCCAAAGGATTGCTGGCTAGGAGGATTGCAGGAACTTCTCAATTTCTTGGTAGCAAATGTGGTTTAGGGGAGCTGCAGTAAAGCTATTTAAAAAACCCTAAACTAACCTTTGGGAAAATAAAAAACATAGACAACTACATTCAGAAATAACAAAACAGTGTCCAAGTTTTACCTGGAATCCCAAATGGTCAAAAAGTAGAACCAAGCACAGGCAGCCAACAGAAGTATTTTTCATGTGAAAATCACAGCTTTGAATTCTCCCCTCTGTTTTTTCACTCACCTCTGACCAGATTTGATCACCTGGTAGCAATAGAGCGTGCTGGGATGGCTGCTGATGGCAATTATTACAATGCCAGGAAAGTTAACATCAAACATCTCGTGGATCCCATAGATGAACTATTTTTAGCTGCACAAACCATTCCAGGAATCACAACAACAGGTAAGTGTGAGTTTGTGTGATGTTCTCAGAAGCAAGAGAAGCACAGAGCAGAAACTCCTACTGGTATTGAAGAGGAGCAGGAGGCAGGTGCTGAGGGGCTGCTTTCAGGCTACAGCTGTTTGTTGGGATTGGATTTGAAGACACTGTTGCTGGAGAAAAATTACAGATTTCTATTGGAGGATTCTCACAGCCAGAAAAAAAAAAAAAAGAATTTTATTTCAAAGTTACTTAAGGACAAAAAAGAAAAAAAAGCAGGCCCAGATGTATTACCTAGACACAAGTCTATGTACATACACTCTAAGTGCAGTTTTTGATAGTGACTTTATTCTGTATTTTTTTGTGTTGAAGGCAACATAGAACATAAATGATTGTTGGATGGTAGCATTCTTTTTTGAAGTATTGGTTTTATGATTATTGCACCTAAGTTAAAACAGCAGTCTGGATAGAGTCTTTGTTTATATTGTTCTTAGCAGTACATTCCTTTAAGCAGGGATTACATATTTGCATCTATTAAAATAGTGCCTTCTCCAACAAAATCCATGAGTACAGTAAGAATCTTGAAAGGAATGCCTTGTCCTTCCCACCAAAATAACACTGGCCTTTGCTAATACTTAGAATGAGAATGCTTTGGTCAACATTCTGCTCCTCTCTTTAGGCAACAAACTTTTTTTTGTTGAAAACTTATTTATATCTGGTTTGGAAAAAATATACCATAGACCATTGTACAATATCCTTGTACAATCAAATGCTTCCTGCTACCATGTGTGGCCCAAATGAGAGTTTTGGAGATATATGATCTCTGTAAATATTAAAATCAAATTAGAAATAAGTACCCATACCAAGACTGATTTCTGTCACATCTGCTGATTTAGCTTTTTTTCTTCTTACATTGCTGTGGACTCACTCCTAAGTATTACCAAAAGCATGGGAACTTTGGCTTCTCTGTTTTGCTGTTTTTCAATTGTTTCCACAGAATTTAGAGAGCTTCTGCAGAGATAATGCATAGTCCGATTTCACTCTATTGTTATGATTTAAAAGCTGTGTAGCAGAGGACTTCACTGATATGTGTTATTATTGTAAAATTTGCAATACTTTGTATTTAGATTTAATTCAGGGTTTTTTCCTCTTCATAAGATGTACCTTCCAACATTCAAAAGGAAGCACTCTAGATGGCACTGTCTTGGCAGTCTCAACAGAGGATAAAGATTGACTGAATAAGTATTATAAGCATTATATAGGAAAAGCTCTGTTTTATAAAAATGTCTAGCAATTGCCTCAGAGCTTCATCTGCTGCTGTTAGTTTCAACTCCTGTCCCTGATTTTAGGTTGTTGATAAAAGAATTTCATCTCTTCAGCTACTTACATAACGTCACAACCTGATTTCTTTAGTAAGAATACCCTAATCTCTTCAAATATCTCCCACAGCAGCTCAAAGTATATTATTCATTTACTGGAGTTTGTAATGTTCAGCCAGCTGAGAATTTCAATCTGTTCAGCAGAATGCAGTTTGTTTCAAACATTCTCTAAATATTCAAATATACTATGAAATGTCATTAATAAAAAATACCACAGGCTTGTGAAAAAGAAGAAAAGCAGTTATTCAGATTCAGTGTGTCTCAGTGCTGTGAACTTTATCTGAAGATATTTCTGCATAGAAAATGGTTTAACAAGTCAGAGGCTTTAAAGGACAATGAAGGAATCTGCTCTGTTCTCCCATGGCATTTGTGTAAGTGGATATTCTGCTCTGGAGAACTGACTGGGTGTCTGTAAGAAAGCAATGTAATTGTTTCTTACATTGTCTGTTATCTAGCTAACATTTCTTGTTTTGCTGATCACATTCATTTTTTGTGTCTGTTATTTTGATTGGGTAGCAATTTCTTGGGTTGGATGTTGGGTTTTTCAGTGTGTTTCTGCCAGTGTGTTTCAGTTTAACTTGGCCACTGTGGCCTTTGTGTTTTGTCTCCCATTACTGATAGCAATGTGTTGCTATTGATGAGGATAATTTTTTTTTCTGGTGGGGCTGTCTTCAGCTTTCTTTGTGGTCAGTAGGAATTTGGAGGCATATGACTAGTGCCAGAATAAATGCAAATATTGTACAGAATTAGGGCGGAGTACTTGAATAACCTTATAGGCTAGAATACCAGAAAGATCAAGTTTTCAGCCTACAGAAATTCTTTATATAGTGTGCTCTGTGGCAAGAAGCACTGTGTCAGTAGGTGGAGAGGGGAAATGTTAGAACATTTGTTACATGCTGATTAATTGCTGTCAAGTGTTGCATTTAAAACAAGATCTGTGGTTTTTTTAAAAAAAATCTGATCTGGTAGTTTGACCACAGACAAAGCATGAGCAATGCCTGAATTGTATGGGTACTGACATCCTAAAAACTCAGGGAGTGAGGAGCAGCCTTGAAGAATTCACAGAGTAAGAAGCCATGAAAGGCTGAGTTTGGAAGGGACTCATTTTCCACATAAGTCTGAAAGAAAAGATTAAGAAATGTTACTGGAACCACATATTATTTTTTCAGCTGTCATACAACTGACATAGCTATCTACTATTTATATAGGAGCTAATTAAAAGCCTTCCAAAGTACTTCATGAAAAAATGGGGTCACACATTTTCCTTTCATACAAAAGATTTTTAGCACAGAAGACTGATATCTCCTGCATATTTCCTGAATGTAGTTTCAGAAAACAATGTAGTCAGTGGGAACTTGCATGGAAGATCCAGCAGAACTATTTTTCCTTTGCCTGGAAAGAAATTGGGCCTTTAGAAGTGGACTCATCTTGCCTATTTTCAGACATCTATATTTGAGACGTCTGCCTTAGGGTGAGATGAACTGAATGTGTGAAGGGAGTGTTTCTTTCTGCTGACTTTAAAAGCAGCAAAGCTGACTGGCTCATGTATGGATGGCTGTGTTGCACAGGTGAATTTCACCCTGGGATCTGCAGTAAAGTACAGTTCTCTGGCAATGTGTGGAGGAAGAAGAAAACAGATGGGAGAGGAGACTTTCCAGTGGGGTGTTCTTTTCCTCCCAGTGTCACACAAATGGGATCCATCCACAGCAATAGATCTACTCATGGTGCAGCCATCCTGGTGACAGGACTCCCACAAAGACAGGAAAAGCAGAGCAGGGCACATAGAAAAAGCCCTGAGCAATGGAGCAATATATTTCAGTTAAATAAACTGTTGGTTATTTTCATGGGACAAGAATTCATCACAGCCCTTTTAAAGAATGTTGAGAGCAAAAATTTTAATTTTGAGTGTAAGAAAAAGCAGAATATTGTGTGTGATTCTTACAAAGCAGTAAAACTTCCATGTTTATGTATGAGGATAGAAGCACCAGGATTATATCAATACCTGTTTGAAAAGTACTACCAATAAAGAGATTTTTGAAAGCACCAATAACTCCCAATGGTGAAATAAATGTGAGCAGGTTATTAAAGCAGACAAAAAAGAGTAGCTGTTCCATGGCAAATCCTTTTATGTAAGCTGTGTGTCACTCAGTTACACCCTGCTTGACTGGATAGACTTAAGGAATCAAATAAAAATTGCTGCTGAGAAATAACTTTCCATTTCACTTAAGAAGAAATTTGCTACAGACACATGAGATATTTATGCAGTTACTAAAAGTGTTAAATTTACCAGTTTTCAGGCCTTGAAATGTAAATTATAAATATTGTAATTTCTCTGCTGTAACACATACTATGCATTAGAGCACAGTCACATTTCAAATTCAAATCTGATACATCACAGTGAGGACTTGGAGCTCTTCACTGTTCTGTTTCACAGTCATGGTCAGGGATTATTCTGTAAAATCTTCAAGTTGAAGAAGATGCCATTCAGACTAACAGATGAAAGAGAAATTTTAATTTCCAACTAAATAGTAATAATAATTTATTAATAATTATAAATAATAAATAATTTTAGTATGTTTTTTAATATATTGGTAAGAGACTAGAGGTACTATCCAGCTTTTATGTGAACTGCTAGTTTATATATTTCGCTCATCTCCAGAATGTCATCTGACAACTTTATGTCCTAAATATCAGGTTGCCTAGAATTTTCCTGAAATTGCATAGATCTCATTGATTTCACTAAAAGCACTTAGACAAATACACAGTATTTCTATTTGTGCAACAAAAATCTAGGTCCCACATCAATATATTAGAAAATTAAAATAAATAAAGACTAGCTATTTTTTGGTAAGTGATGTGGAAAATGAAAACAGTAGTAGTATATGGGGCTGGGCTCTTTGTGTACTGCAGCACATGAAGAATCTGTATCGAACAGGTGGGCACTGCAGTCAGGCCTGCTTCTGCCCAAATCCTTATGGATATTTTTCCTTGTCTTTCTGCAATAATTGTTATTTCTATTCTGTTTTTTTGATTAAAGCTTGTAACAAGCCAAGGTTTTCTATGTTTGCTTTATCATATAGTTGTTGGCTGATTTCTCAGCTTGATTTGGGTTTAGTTTTCTGTCTTCTTTCTTTATTTGTGATTATGTACTTGTGATAACACATTATATAGAACACTCGTGTGAGGCCTTCCATAAGCAAAGTTCACTGTCTTGATTCTGTCTGCAGTTCATAAGCACTTGATAACTGTGATTTCTTTTGTATGCAGGCAATGTACAGTGTACATTGCATGATAAACTTAGAGACTGGCATGTAATAGATGATTCTTTCAGCTATTTCATTCACAGTCTTCTGTTTTTAGGTGCTGTGGATGAAAAAAGGATAAACCATCTCATATGGAGCTATGAACTATCATAGCAACTGTGGGGAAGAAACGGGGTGTTTTCTAAAGGGATTGTCTAAAGGGAACATTTATAAAGGGATGTTTTCTAAAGTTATGTGCTGTGTTCATACTCATTTTGTCTTTTTCCCTTTTATAAAGGTGTTGGAGATGGAGGAAATGAACTAGGAATGGGCAAAGTCAAAGATGCTGTGAAGAAGCACATAAAAAATGGAGATGTTATAGCTTGTGATGTTGAAGCTGATTTCACTGTTGTAGCTGGTAAGGGATTTTTGGTGGGGTGGGAGAGTAGCTGATATTTGACAATGGAACTGACAAGGAAACATTTGTCTTTCCAAGTAATTTTATTGGCCCTTTCCAAGTCATCCTCAGCAAACTGAGGATCTATCTCTGTATTATGGACATTTTCTGAAGAGTTAAGCACAGAAGAGTTGCTTCAGAAGAACTGACTGAAAATTGAGAATGTTCCATGAACAAAATGCACTTACTTGGAAATAGTTGGGAAAATCCTGCATATTTTTGAAAAATCACACATTATTTAAAATCACAGAACCATGGAATCCTAGAATGGTTTGGGTTGGAAAGGACCTTGAAGATCATCCAGTTCCTACTCTACCTGCCATGAGCAGGAAACCTTTCACTAGACCAGGTCACTCAATAACAAATATTAATAAGGAAGACTGCAGAAGTGATCTATGTGGGGACTAAAATGTCTGTGCACATAAAAATTTTCAGTATAATTGATAAACTTCTGTTTAGTGTGGGCCCTATCAGGCATAAATTAGTCATATTGCCCCTTTACAAAGAGATAAGTTCTTTCAATAATCACTCAAGGACAATTGTATGTTCTTGATGTTCAAAAGTTGAATGTTATAGTTAAAATTCTGTTTTACACCAGCATGAAATGAAATTCCCAGTGAGAGAGAGATGTTCAGCACAGACCAACTTCTGGACTGGAAGGTCTGGATTGTCCTTGGGCTCAGGTTTCTCCGTTCTAACCCAGGTGTGTGTGGCACACTCTGGGCACTCGGCAGCCAGTTTGTGCAGGTTGGTTTCACGGTGTCTCTCGTTGCAGGTGTGTCTAACTGGGGTGGCTATGCCATTGCCTGTGCCCTGCACGTGCTGCGCTGCTGTGCCACCCACGAGCGGTACCTGTGCCGCGCCCTCGGCTGCCCGCGCGCCCCGAGCCAGCGGCCCTGGCTGCCAGCGCTGCCCTCCGTCCCCAAGGTACCTCCTGTGCCCTGGGCTGGGCTGCTGGGACACGGTGCTGAATCCTGCCTGGGCTGGAGGGCCTCACCTTCACAGGGTCTTTGGGTGCTTCGGGGATTCCTTGTGAAGGAGCGGCCACGCTGCGCTTAGACTGTTTTGCACAAAGGAGACAGATTGCAAATAAAAATCCTGCAGCATGAACGTGTTCATGTCTTGTGGCTTCAAGCAGAAGACAGTGCTACAATTTTATGGGCAGTGCAAGAGATACAGTGATTAAAATTCCCTGTTTGCTTCCTTAGTATCATTCATGATTTTATAACCCTCTGTTGTAGTGTCTTTTAGATGTCTGCTTCCAAAATCAAAAGCCACAGTTCTTATGCAGTAGCCACTCCATACTTCTGATCTTTGTACCTTCCCCCTTTTCTAGTTTGCTGGAGCCTTTCTACAATTAGTTCTGAATGTTTCTAAATTGAAGTTGGAGAAAAACTTGTACATGAATATTTTTAAATGTGTTTTGACTAATGCAGCTCTGTACAGTGATATTCTGGGAATGCAAAGGTTTCAGACTGAGAAAAAGTAAAATAACTGAGAGGGGTGAGAAATGACTCTGATCTGTGCTCATCCTGTGAAGCACGTGCCTCTATTTTTAACTTGACAGTGGTTAAAAAAAAAATCTGTCTATACACTCACACACACCCCCTAATGATTAAATAAGATTTGTTCCACAACTTTGCAATAAATTAGGAGCTTCAAGATTCAGCTTTTTTAGCAGAGATTTGGACAAACCCATTAAGTGTGTGATGTCCAAGAATGCTAAGCAAAATGCAATCCATCTACCATAGCTTCTGCCCAAAACAAAGAAGTTTTTCTCCTGAGATGATGGGACATTCTGCATGAAATTCCAACAAAGCACATTTTAAGTATTTTAGAGTAGATCCCACTATTTTTTTTTTTAATTCTTGCTATCTTAGTTTTTCATCTGAAGGCCATAAAACTGAAACTGATCCCAACACTTGGCATAGCCATATAGCTTAACAAAGCTTATGTGGCCCTTTTCAGCAGTCTTTTTTATAAAACAGTTTAATTATTTTTCAGTTTTCAGTGTTTTTTCCAGTTGCATCTACTGATTTTTGACCTTTAAATTAATGCATCCTAAAATGACTGTGATCAAAATTCCTGGTAATGAGATTGTGTAACTAAATGTTATATTGTGTACAGGAAAACCTTGTTTTTGTTTTACTAAGCTATACAGCTGGGAATATTAATGATCCAATAATGGGCTACTGAAAGTGCAATACTAAAATCTGTTGAGATAAAATTAATGGAAACAGTTCTGTGGAGGAGAGAAAATGACAAAATGTCTGACAAGAAAATATGATATCTTTAATTATAAATCACACAACAATGAACAGTGCAGAAGATTGAATACATTAGTATTCACATACTCCATTAATATAAAAAATCAGACCATTTCTGTTTATCTGGCTACTTTCTGCAAAATTCAGCTTCATTTAATGCTATAATAATTGCCCTAATGAGATAAAGAGCAATACCACACAGATCCATCTTGGTGTTTATATTTGTGATTGGAACTGGAAAGAGGACATTAGAAGGAGTCCCTTAGCACCAGGCAGCTTTCTTATAATGTGTTGTATTTTTCTTCAAAAAATGGCACTTCCATGAATGCTGTAGGTCATAATCACTAAGTGAAGACTTCCCCTGAAACACCAACATTATTTCCTTTCAGGCTGGTGTTCAAACAGTGTCAGGATTGCACTGCCAAACCCCAGAAGTGCAGAGCTGTCCCTTCCCACTGAGCAGCAAACTGAGATTGCTCTGAGTTCCTGGATGAGCCTTTCCACACAATTTAGTGAGAGATGCTGCAAAGCATTTGTTCTGTGCTGAGAACTGCAGAGCAGGAAACAGCTGGACCTAAACAATCTTTGCTTACCTTTACCTTTGCTTACCTAATAATTTGATTATGGTATTGGCTTGGTTTTTCAGATGTTCATACTGCTTTTACACCAAAGTGACTGTAATGAAATTAATTCATTCATACATATCCACATGTAGCTAATGCTAAACATCCTGCAGTCAACTCTGCATTTCATTGCATCTCACAAACAGGTTCATATATCAAGCATTTGTTCTTTTTCTGAACTGTTTACTAATGGCAACATATTAGCTGTATAGTATTATTTTTAAATTATGACCTATAAGAATATGAATTATATTATAAATATATAAAGGTATGACATATTTTAGTGTGCTTAATTAGCTTTGTCTAAGGAAGTTTGTGCTTGAGAAAAGCACAAACTAATGAGATATTTTTCTATTAATATGATTATTTTTCCAGTTACCCCACTCCCAACATAATTATTTAGTAAAGAGAAAGCTGTGGTAAAATTGCAGCACTGTACAGCTATTTTATGGCAGGCTATGGTTTATCAGGCATAGTTATGTAGTATTAAACAAGCAAACTTTTTTTACCTCATATAAGCAGATCAGAGAGCTCTAATATGTAAATATGTAGCACAAACTATTCATATTAGGGATTACATTTTTTTGTATCCAATTTAGGTGCCTCTTTTGTGACAGGAGAGATCTCCTTTGCCCTCTGAGAGTGCTCAGAGAAACCTCTGTTGTTCAGAAAGATCAGTTGTATATGTTTGCATTTATGTATATGATCATTCATATGATATAAACTGATGTGCATTTATAATTATATTAATTATAAAGTAGCAAATTTATGCTACTAGTGTATCCAGATAATTTCCTTAAATAGCTGTGTCACTGCTGACACCATGTAACTTTGCATATTTTTCCTTTAGTAGAAAACCAGAGCCTCATTTAATTTTGTTGCAGCTAAGAATTAGGATGATTTACCAGGAAATAAATGACACATCTTTAGAAAGTGCATTCAGAGAGCAGGTTACAAAATTAAATGGAATTGATCACACAGGGCATGCTTTGCTTCATTCAGAAATGATTATATTTTGGCCATTTTACCATTAGGTAAAATACAACTATATTGTGTCTCAATTCAGATCCACAGCTACTGTATTCTTTGTGGTTTAGAAGTGTTCCTAGAAAAAATTCTAGCATTTGATAAGAGAAAATTAGATATTTTAACATTCCTTTTTTTCATCATTCATGTGTGTGCAGGAGATAGAGAATTTCTGCTAGGTTGTTGTGTGGTTATGTAAAATATGAAGTGTTCAAACCCAGAGAACTCCTTGTCAAGGACACTGTAGGATTGTTGCAGCAGCAATTTGCATGGAAATGGATGTGGCACAGTAGGCAAGGCTCAGAAGGGGCATTCCTAGTAAAGAAAGAGAGGAAAAGAGGAAGGAAAAGGAAAAGAGAGGAAAAGATAGGTGAGTGTTTCAAGGTCTTATATAACCTATCACAGGGTTGGCATAGGGAAAGCTAAGAAGTGACCGGGTTTTTAGTTTTCTCAGACTTTTATTAACAGAATTCAAGGAATAAATTCTCACTATAGTGAATGCCAAAAATTAGGAAGTCTTACTGTGTACATTTCACAGCAAATGAAAAGCAGAGCAGTTTATGCCAGACATACATTCACTTGAAACCAGATCTTCAAATTCCACTGTTCCTGTGTTTTTTTCAGAGCTCATTTTATCCCATCTTTTCATCTCACAACGCTAACTGGCCCGTAGCTCACAAAAAAAGGATTTTGGTGCCTCTGTGTACTTTTACAGCTCAACTTGGAACACACTTTGTTATCTGCTTATATTAGTTAAGCAAGAAAATAACTGTAGTTCTAAACAAAGCCTATGCTAGTTCAGAGCATGCCAAGGAAGCACAATTTCCGAGGTTGTTTTCTCCCCAATCCTTCTCTAAGCAACCAGAATTGTCATAAAATCAAAAATGAAAAGAGAAGAGAGTGCCAAAGCACAGAGAGATCAGAGAAGCTGCAGGAAAGGAAAGTGAGTGTACAGCCCATCCAGGTGCTCTCTGTAACCTTTTCTCCTGGTGCACCCTCCTTCCCTTCTGTCTTTTTCTATAAAAATGCAGCTGCAGCCAGCTGCCTGGCTGAGGAGACCACAGATGGATTTCTGAGATACTTTGGGTGGAGGTTCCTCTGATTCTGATTTGTGCAATATAGGAACTTGAAACCAAGCAAAAAATGATGTTTCTGAATTGACACTAATGTTCTGTTGGAGGCAGTGTGGAGAAAAGTAATATTCAATGGTTAAGTAGCAGTTAATATTATAAACCATCTGACACTCCCTGAGCTCCAGCTGCTAAACATATTCTTTGGGACAAGATAGTACTTGCAACTTGATGGCAAAATAAATATGAAGGATGTGGTCAAGTCTCTCCCAGAATTAAAACAAAGATCTTGATGACTGACCTGTCTGATTCAGAATTTTAATTGTACTCTGTTTCTTTGTTTTTCAAGGAGGAAAAGCTTCTGAAAGCACTGGTGCAGCTCGGGGTCCGCAGTGGCAAAACTGCCAGTCTGGAGATGGAGGTGGATGGGCTGCCCTTCTACAGCACCCACTCACTGATGATTGAAAAGCTGCTGCAGGAAGCTCAGCACTGACTGCCCCTAGTGATTTCTATATGAAGAGATGCTCCCATGTAATTTCCTTATTTTTGAGGCTCTCTCAAGATGTAAAAGATCAGAAAAAGATGGCTTTTCATCTCTGGTGTCTTGACCACACACAGCCTTTCATTGTTATCCTTACAACATCTCTGTGAAACAAGAAGAGGATATCATCATCCACTTGGCTTACATTTCTTTTCTGTAATTTTATAATGGAAAATGGAATTTTTTAATTTTATAATTTTTAATGGAAAATTAATATTAAATTATATTGTACAATAAGAGGTGATCTGGCTTTTACAAAGAAAGCATGAAATTACAATGAGATATTATTGCACTGCTGTTCTTGTTTTACTAACCTCATAACTGCAACAGGAAGTAACTTTCATAGCAACCTGGATTTAAAAATACTTGTGGTGAGGAAAACAGCTACAGTAGAGAGAGAAGATTCAAAACAAAACTGCAGTGTTACAGTAGTGAGAGCTCCACTGCACACTTCCTGTAGTCCCTCTCAAACACTGTGTTCTTATGGTGGGGGATAGTTTGTGGAAGTGTGAGGGGAGAAGGAGAAAATTTTAACTGAACTAATGAAAATAAGGGCAGCATTGCAGATCTGTGTAAAGGGTTGGCTGTGCCATTATCCCCTGTCATATTAGTAATTTGCCACTTACGTATTTTGCCACTTTATGGATAATAGAGAAAAGTTGTTTTCAGAGTATCCTGTTGTTACAAAGAAATTAATTTAATACAAAAATAATTATTAGAAATTAAAGCATGATTCTAAATGAATAAACATTTGCATTCAGCATAACATTATGTAAATAAAGTTTTGCATGAATTCCTGTTGTAGAGGTTCAGCTCCTGACAAGACCAAGTGCAGTAACATTGAATTCTATCCCATGGGATTACTGACACTGAAGCAGTTCATGACAAATGGTTGTGAACTGTGCCCAGCTTTTGTCATTCAAAGCTGTAATTTTACCTTAACTCCAGGTGAGTGGCAGGACTACAGTTCAGCTGGCTGTCAGCCCTGCCAGCAGAGAGAGGGGGGTACATTTGACAACACCCCTGGAGCACTGGTGCTTTTCCTGTTGTGAAATGGAAGTTGCCTTCAGTTGGACTTTCAGCAGCGAGCAACACTTTATATCTCTTTTCCTTCCTGGCAGGTGAGTTTTATTTTCCTTCTTCAATATAAGACAAACAACTTAACTTTTTCAGAATGAGAAAAATAATTTCATACCACAAACACCAGCGTATTTTGAACATTAATCTCCTGAAGTCCCTGAGGATACAGGGCCTTTAAAGACATAGAATATAGAACACATGACAGAAAAAATCTTAATGCCAGACTTCTGCTAGACATTCAGGTTCACCAAAGATCCCAATGTTCATTTTCTAGATCAGTCTTCTTTTTTTAGATTCATTTTATCTAAAAACTTCTCAAAGGATGTTCTAGAAAAGTATCTTGGAAGTTTCACAATTAGAAAATATCTCCTTTAGAAGTCTCCAAACTCTCCTAACTATATATAAGTAAAATATTTCATAAGAATGCTTGAACTTTTTGCCAAAGCCAGTAACTCTGCAGGATGGCATATGTTCACTGCTGCACAGAACTCGCAGAATGAAATTTGCATCCTTTTAAAAGAAACAACTGATTTTATTCTTTCTGTGCTACTGACATGTTACACTAATAGGTGCAATGGATATTTTCAAAAAAAATTCATTTAGTAACCTTTTGCTCTTTTTTTGCCCCAAAATACAAGTCTTAACAGTCAGTTTTCATTAAGAAATACAAAATGTAATAATTTTTTTTCTTTTTCTCGAGTGTGTGCTTTTAAAATGCTTTCTTGTGTGCATCCCAAGCATGGCATTTACTTCAGTAGCACGTGTAGCATGTCTCTAGCAACCTTAGCAGGACCCTTGAGTGAATGTCTTTTTACTGAGAGGGAAGGAAAAGCTCTGAATGGGAGTTTCCTTCCTGCTCTATTGGTTACAGTTCTGCAGCCTAAGCCAAACAGTTACAATACAAAAAGAATTGATAAAATATTGGCTTCAAGAAAAAAAAAGGAAAAAGAAGAAAAAAACCCTCCTTTCTGTTCTGGGTTAGCAGGTTAAGTGCTGAGAACTGGAGCAGAATGCTGCACTGTGTTACACAAGTTTCCATCTGATTTTAAACTGCAGCAGCTGACCAAAGCTGACCACATCAAAGTTCCCTCTCCAATGAGCCTTAGTCCCTCAGATGACAATTCCATGTAGTACAGCATGCTCTGCATTCCAGCTGTCTAATTTAAACAGCATGGGGACCTGTAAAGGAGCAACACGTAAACACAACAACAAATATTTAATCCTGGAACAAACCACGTGTGTCTTGCAGCCTGGCAGTCGTGGGGGGCCCAAGGAGTTGGTGCCTGACAATGCACAAGGTCAGCACTCCAGGGAGGGAGTCCCTGCCCTACAAACCCCTTGGAATACACAGCAGAGGAGATGAAAGATTAGGATAAAATAAAGCTAAACAGTGCTAATAGTCAGGAGAAAAAAATGCAGATGTAAGGTTAATTAATCCAGCTGAGTGATCAAAGTATAAAGAAATGTAAAATAATTAAACAAACCAAATGTTAACCTAAGCAAACCTAATCCCCTCTTGGGACTGAGGACATGAATCCTTTCTGCAAGAGGAGGGAGGAGAGGATCTGTAGTCTCACAAACAGAAACTGTGCACCAAAGCTAAAGATAGTTATTTCAAACATGTTGTGAAAAAATATAAAAAGAAAATTATAAAAACATTCTTTATTAAACACATCCACTAATTATATCCAATGTTGCACTCTCAAGGTGGTTTCCAGAAAACTGTTAGAATATATTCCTCTTGGAATCTGATTACTAGGAAGGCTGTGTTACAATGACATATTCAGATAGCAGGAGTAAACCATCTGTCTAGACAATCTTTGGACTCAAAAGCAAACCAAAGAAACAGAACTGATTATACTGCTGGAAGTTATCAGCTCTGGGTTGCAGAGAGAGAGGAAGGTTTGAAACCAGAGAATTGAAAGGACAAGGCAATATTTATGGTGTAACAGCTGCAGGTAAAAGGAGGTGTGATGAGCAGATGTCAAAGAAGAATCACACAGGAATCATTAGTGTGACAAAAAACCCCTAAGGAACCTAGAGAGGAGGTGGTGGTAGAAACAATACTGAGAAGCACAACTCCCAGGTCTTTAACAGCCATTATTCTCCACTTACTCCACTTATTTTGTTTATTATTCTCCACTTATTTTGTTTCTGTCTAAACTAGGACACAGATCATTCATACATCACTTTTCTGATACTGCATTTACTGAACAATGACCAAACCCTAAACTATGCTATCTGTGGGCAAAAACATGGTTTAAACAGAATTCATTCAACACTTTCCCTGACAAATGCATTGTTATGTAATTGCCTGCATGGTCTGTGCTGCACGAGATACACAAACTGTAAAGGACACAATCAAAACCTTAGCAAGGTGTAGTAGAATTTAGATGTAAATAAATATTCTTGAACAGAGTGGCTCAGAGAAGCCCTAGGATCAAAGTACCTCACATGCTACCAATGTCTTGTTCTCTTCTGAGTCGACAAACCAAGTTATAGACACTCACTGGAGCCCAGAGTCTCCTACTTCCAGAAGTCTCTAGGAGCCTTACAAAGAGGTTTAACAGTCTGAGGCTCAACAGTGAAATAAGAGCCTGAAGGTCTCAGCAGGTGCTGAGTTCCTTGTGCATGTTCTCCCACAATATCTCACACTATCAGACTGATTGTTTTAGGAATCTGGTTCTGGCATGGTCTCTGCAGGCTTTGAAACTGGCAGAAGGAGAAGTTTTTTTCAGAGAGTTACAGAGATGTTGCAGAAGTGTTTTGTTGGGATTTTTCTTTGTAAAAGTACATGGGGACATTAATGTTTTTTTTGTCTCTGACCTTTTCAACAGATGATGACAGCTTGTAGAGAATTACTTTCTCTAGATGCTACAGGGGCAAACAGAGGCAGCTAAAGATGAGTTCACCAGAACTGCACACCGTGAGTACTGGCTTATTCCAGTCAGTGCAGTCATCAAGACAAACAGGTTGTAAGTGGCAGCATAACAGATATGTGATTATAACTGATTTGACTTAGCACATCCTTTCCTCACTATTGCCAGGGTCCAAGCACCTCTGGAAACAGCTCCACTGTACAGCATTGCTCATAAGCCTTTGGGAGGTCACACTGTTGTAATGCATGAATAATTCAGACAGATCCACAAACACAGCCATAGCTGCAGGTGGAGGATTAAGGTCCTTTTGATTAATGCTATAGGCTGTCTGCATTAGTTGTGAAGCAGTCCTTCATTCCAGCATCATCGAGTGGTATTTGTAATAACCCTGGTTGTTGTTCATGCTGTTTTCTGTTGGGAGTTTCAGTAGTGTTTAGTGGATAGGATTCCTTTTTCTCAGTACTCAGATGGCCTAAACATGTTAGGCAAGAGTCTCTCATCTTGACAAAGTTCTGGTAAGTGCTTTCACTGGAAAAACAGTACAATACTGGGTCAGCAACACAGTTAAAAGTGGTTAACAGGAGAGAAATATGGTAAACATTGAATATTTTCTCAGCAAATGAGCAGCTGTTCTCCAACAAGCTACGAATTACAAGTAGGATGTGGTATGGTCCAAAGCAGACTAAAAATATGAAAACAGTGCTTGATACCAGTCTTTTAATTTGGATTTTCTTCTTCTTTTGGGTGCCAGGACTCTTGTGGACAACTCGTAGAATCCCACAGTAGGAGAAGGCCAGCAGAAACAAGGGGAAAAGGAAGCCAGCAGAGAAGCGGTAGTAATTGACATTGTGCTCCCATCTCTTGATGGGGTAATGCTCAAAGCACACCAGGTGGCTCTCAGCATCCATGCTGATCTCCCCGTGTGTGAAGACAAAGCTGCACGTGATGATTTCTTTGGCCCAGATGACGCTGCTGACGATGGCAGCGGCCCTCATGGTGCGGAAGCGCTGGAAGCGGAAGGGGTGCACCACGGCCAGGTAGCGGTCGATGGAGATGCAGCACAGGAAGCCCACGCTGATGTAGATGTTCTCGTACAGGATGATGCCACACACCTTGCACAGCAGCTCATCGTAGGTCCAGTTGTCATGCTGTAAAGCATACTGAAGCCAAAAAGGCAAAGAAAATATGTACAGCAGGTCTGCTATAGTCAAATTGCAAAGGTAGACACCTAATTCATTTTTAGCCTTGATCTGTAAATAGCCATAGTACAGGGACAGGCAGTTAGCTGGCAAGCCTAATATGAACACAAATATGTACACCACAGGGGATAATGTCTCGTGGATTTCGTGATTAATGTTGCATTTCTCAGTCACATTCTCTGTGAAATTCACCATCTTCTACTTCTCCCTGTGTATCATTCATCAGGGTCCTGAATTTAGGACTTAATTACATTCAGTTTTCATGTAGAGTTTATTTCTTCCACAAACCTTTAGACTGAAGTGATGACTTGCTGCAGGGTGTTAATAACCTGAAGATAAAACACAAGGAAATCTTTAGAAGGGATACAATTGTTAAATACATAGTACATTTTTCAGAAAGCTGCCTTTTCCTAGCTCTAAATCTTTGATAAAGACAAAGCCTGTTTGGGAAATCAAGATTCACTTAACTCCTAGTACATAACAGAAAAGTGCCAGAAAATTATGTGATTCAGAATCACAAAGCTAGTTACAAATATTTATTGTTTTATCTTTGGAGGTATCTAAAATGTGAAGAAATATCATCCCTGGTTTACAGATGGGGCAGAAAAGCAGTAATCAGATTTGACTGTGATGGAAAAGGTGTCTCTGGTAAAGCAGCAATCCACACAGACTTCCTCAGAGGATGTAGGGTGCACAAAACTCTTGATTATTAATTTGCATTTCTTAAATTTCCCTTTACATACAAGATACCATGTAATATGCAGATCAATTCAGCAGGATGAAAAAAAAAAAGGGAATTTTTAGCACTTTCTCTTACAGTTACTTGTAAAAACAATCCTGAAAGCAAGCTGTCTTCCTCTGTTGGAAGGACATGGTGAAACTCTGGTAACAGGGCATCTTCATAGTCTCAGTTCTAGAGGATATGCTTTTAAATATTCCTTATTTGCCATCAACTCCAAAACCCACACACTCATGACTGATTCATTTGTAGCTTTCCTTTCATCTTCACTGAATATGAATGTAATTGTTTTCACCTGAAGAATCTGGTATAATCCAAACACGTACCCACAGAAGCCATTGCTATGCTATACTATACTGAACTATACTATAACAATTTAATGCACCAAAACCACTGCTGACAGTGGATTAGCACTCAGTTCTACTAGGTCAAGCCTGGACCAGCTCTCAGTGATGAAACCCTCAACTGAACAATGAAATGCCCCACCCAGCATGTGATCACCTCATGGTACACTCACACAGGCACAGATGCTCAGCACTGGAGAACAGCACAGCAAACTGTTCCTAATCTGCAGGGAATGCAGTTTTACCTGGCGGTGCAGAACAGCTAGACTGTATTTCTTTCAATGTCTCCTCAGAAGATTCAGGGATGTTGGGTACACCTTTGTAAGGTTAACAGTGTGTACTCTTGTGTACTCCTTTCACAGCTTCAGGTACTATGGATTCAAAAGAAGCACTAGCTAAAGATAAGGCCTTGCTGCTTTTTCCTGTTTGCTATGCTAATTTGCATTTCTGTTGTCATCTTCTGTCCCATCTAGGAACATCAAATTTTTTCCAAGGCAATGCTTACAAAAATATGACCATTCTACAGTAAAATTACTGTCAGCTTTAGCATTTGAGGATGTTACTGTCAAATAATTTTTTTTAATACATACAGGTTTTCTTTAAAATAGTGATAGATAGGCTTTACTCCTGTGGAAACTGAAAAAAATAATTTGCTTTAAGCCAGAAAAGAATTGCCTGGCTGAAATAAGTGATCAAACCTGCAAAGAATTTCATTTTTTAGCTTCAACGAGCATAGTTCCACAGAATTCACGGCAAACACACAGAGATAAGAATTGGGATGTGGTTTTCATCCCTTTACCTTTAATATCCAAGAGAGGGAACATCAGCCCTGATTTTGGTGGAAATATCCTTGAGAGCTCAGAAACTCTCAGTCATGAAACAATAGGCCAAGGTAAGTTCATCTCCCTCAAAACTTTCAACTCCACTGCCCAGTGCAATTTGTGTGAAAGACTGCTCAAGTCTGGCACTCTGCTCTCCTCCACCTCTCAGACTCAGCAGCTCCTTTGAGGTTTAAGAGACTCACACTCCCCACTGTGGCTGTCACAATGTTAGAGCTCATTCATCAAGCTCAGCAGGAGAAATGCTGTGAGGGGACCCAGGCACAGGTACCTGTGCTTCAGCTCGAAGTTTGTTCCAGGAGATTGCCATAACCTCCATTCTGGAATAAACATGACAATGTTAGCAGTGCTGACATGTACAGCAGAAATCAATCACTAAAGTACAAATTTCCTCAAACACTGATACCTAGGGGCCATTAGCTCCCCTGTAACACTATGCAGTTTCTCCAAGGGTTCATAGCCACCACATATCTCTTCCTTCTGCAGACAAGAGCAGTGCACAGAATCTTTGCTGAGGCAGGTTTGATAACCTTCTTACCCCAACCCACCTTTTCAACCCAGAGCTCCAGGCCTGAGTTTGTATTTCATAGCATTTCTGTATAATGATTTGGTGACTTTTACATGTAAGGGTTTGCCTGCACAGGATTATTGGTACATCTTAGTTATTGTCTAAAATACCTAAAATCTGAGACCTGTCATCATATCTACCAGCACAGTGCCCAGCCAGTGTCCAGCTCCTGTCAATAGGGCCAAATAGTAATTCAAAAGCTGCTGACAGTTTTGAAAATTCAGAACTGTCTTTAATGTCTAGCACTGAGTTTCATTCAGTGTTACCCAGTGAGTCATTATGGATCACAGTATGAGGAAAAGCAGATGTACTCTACAGCTGCAGTGTTTTTTGAAAATGTTTCTTTTACTCTAAGAACTCTAAATGTTTTTATCAAATTGTGTTTTCATACAGAGAATATAATTCTCTGTAATAAGTAAAATAATTTTTGCTTAGTTTAAGAGTCTTGCCAGAATGCAGAATGTGAAGGAGGCAGCAAAAGCCTTATTGATATAATATTATGGTAATATAATATACATTTATGATTACAGCAACATTTCCTGCTCCTGGAGGAAATGCTGGATTGGGGTGTTCGAAGGGGCAGGAAGAGAAGGTTGGCTGTAACAAATCTCTTTGCCTTGTGCTGTCAATCCCTCCCCAGTTTCCAAGATGGGGATGAAAAAGAAAGATCCAGATTCTTGTGCAATAGCTGTTCTGGTCAGTGGCAACAGTGAGGCAGGAAATCCTTCCCTTGTTTCAGCCTCCTCAGTGTGTGGGCTCTGGGCTGCCTTTGTACCTTTTGACCACTCATGCCTGGCTAAGGACAGACTCAGCAGCCAAGTGGAAATACAGAGGCAGTTCAACATTTCCCCACACCAGGCACACCAAATATAGTTCTGCACCAGCCAGGGAGTGAAACTCTAGGATTTTCTCAACAAACCTGGTATCAAAAGAATGCACCAGCAGGTTTAAACAAATGGGTGTGCAAGAGCCCAATCTGTCATTAAGATGATGTGACACAATACTTTACAAGCTGTCTGAAAAAGTGGAACATGAAGGAAAGGTGATGCAGGGTATAGAAGAGAAAAGACAAATAGGTCTCTCATTACTTATTGGCCACTTCTGTAAAGAGGGAAGTGAAAAATTTAAAAAGTTGCTCTATGAAAAACATCTGGGATGCAGACAATCATTAAGCTGAAAGCAGGAACACACAGGCATTTCTTTTAGACAGCTCTAATACAGATATAGTGCAGCTGTGTGACTTTTTTTTTAATCATAGTTTATGTAACACCTTCAGTATCACGAGTCTGCAGTCATTTCCAGGCAATATTTCTCTCTTCTATATGCCCACATCTTTTAGATGATACCCATTTAAGCCTAAGTCTTGGCAGTAAATTAGAAGACTTTCTCCATCTACATGAGCTCCAAACAATTCTCTTGTTCCTGGATTAGAAACAGAGCCAAGAGCTTCAGAAAGCCTCACTTTTTCATGGTTTAAACAAGCCAACTTTATTACTCACTGGAGAGTTCAACAACAGTTCCTTTCTTTCCCAACTCCTGTGTGCCTTAGCTGCTAACAAACACATGACTTGCCCCTGCACCATGGACCATGGGGCAGCTCAGTGCAAAGTGCTGCCTGCTGGCAATGGCACAGGAACAGCCAGAGCCTCTGGCAGCAGCAGCCTCTTCACCTTGCACCAAGTGGTAGCATGGAGCCCAGGTGGGTCCTTTCAGTTTCAGTGAACACTGCTACAATTTTCGTTGTAAGAAATCTGTCTGCAACTAGGCCTACATATTTTTGGCAGAGACAAATGGGACTGAACCAAAGAATTTCCTTGCTGGAATTTGCAACCATTGTGCACCCAGCTTGTCTCATCCACAAAGCACCCACTTCCATTAACAGGGAGTGTAGCATTCTTGTGTGCCTGCATGATCTCTTGCTATTTAATCTGTCCTTGCACCTGTCATACAGTGCAGACAAGCCTGAGACACTTGGATGTCATTGCAGGACTTCAACTGTCCTGCAAATCTTGGAATCAGAAACCTGGGATGGTTTCAGTTTAGCATTTGGTTCAGGTCATTATCTACACAAACACCAGCCTTAAAATTCACATGCTAAGCTTCCTTCAACACTTGCAGGTTTGTCAGGTTGTTTGATCCTGTTTCACAAAGCCTGGAAGCACAAGGTCAGACAAGAAGGCAGGGAAGCAATGAGCAGCAAGAAGAGACGAGGGACTGGCCAAACAACATAAAATAGGAAGGAAAGGCATAATACCCTTAGAGCAAGTTTGAGGGAAAAAAGAAGTAGAGAAAAGCAGAAATTTGGGTGCACCACCAAGAATGAAGAAAGAGCACAATGATATTTGGGTTTAATCAGAAGAATTATGGTGTAAAAGATGCATCTGTTGGAGCACAGAAACAAGACAAGAGGGGTGGAGCACTTCCTTCCTCCTACGAGGAAAGGATGAGAAATTTGGAGTAGTTCAGCCTGGAGAAGAGAAGGCTCTGGAAAAACCTTGTTGCAGCCTTTCAGTACCTAAAGGGGACTTACAAGAAACATGGGGACAGACTTTTTAATCAGGACTTGTAGCAACAGGACAAGGGGCAAGGGTTCTAAACTACAAGAGGGTAGAGTCAGACAACATACAAGGATAAATATTTTTATGATGAGAGTGATAAAATATTAGCCCAGGTTGCCCAGAGAAGTGATGGATGCCCCAACCCTGGAAACATTCAGGGTCAGGTTTGATGGGGCTCTGAGTAGCCTGGCCTAGTTGAAGAGGCCCCTGCTCATTGCAGGGCTAGAGGGCCTTTAAAGGCCCCTTCCAAACCAGACCAT